TTCTTATATTGGTCTTCATCTCTCCATCTTGAGATACGTCTTTCTTTATTACACCTTCTACTAATCAATAGTTGACCCCACTAGACTAGAGCAAATCAAGGTGCGGAGTAAGATGCCATGGAATCCGCTGCAAAGGCAAAGGCAAAGGCAGTAGTTTTAGGACTTGGACCGTTGACTGGGAGCTGAGAACTCGTCTCTCTCTAGTGAGATCACGCTAGGGTTTTCCAGACGAAATAAAGTAAAAAACTCTTAGTTGTGACCAAGAAAGGTAAGCGAGGAGGAGATTGAACGCTTTCTCGATCAGCTAAGCCCTTAATAAATGGAATGGGCAAGCCCTAAAATCCACCGCACCGCACCTCTAAGACTTCTTCTCCTATAGGTAAGTCTGACTACTGATTAACAAGAGAAGCAAAGCAAAGTTGAAGAAAGAACTCCGAATGAAGGAAACTCACTAAGAATTTTCTATAGAACAAAAAGGAATAGGGTCCTTTGCACTAAACGAAAAGGAGAGAGCTTTTAAGACCTTTAACAGCGGCAAATACTTTGAACTTTCTAGATCGAATCTAGCCTATAGTCAACTTTGGTAACCTCAATTTGAGCAAGCTTCACCTTTTCCTCCTCACTATAGTTGTAATAATCAAATATTAGTTCTATCTTTTGATCCCACTCCTGGTAACTTTCGACATCTTTCCTCCATTTGAAAGTTGGTATCTTCATCTTAATGGAACTCAAGTTATTGTCTCTTTTATCTTCCCTTCGAGTTGGTTGTACTTCTTCCAAATCATCATATGGTTCAGTCTCCTCTTGGATTTGACTTATGGATTTTGATGAAGTAGAGGATATCTGATTAATTTCCTCAAGGTGGCTTTTGGATTCAGCCTCCTTCTCAAGGTTAGCTTTCATTCCTCAAGGTCATTCTTAAATTTGGCAGGCTGATAAGACTCAAAAAATTACCTGATTGTGTTATGTATAATGTGTTCTTAATTTTAGTTAAAAATATATCATACATAGTAATTTGGCATATATATAAAATATTTTTAATTTTAATTAAAAAATAAATTAAAATATATTTATTAATTTATTTTTATTAAATTTATTGTATATAAATAAATATTTATAGACCTAAGCCATGTTGGGTTGGATTTAATTAGAATCATGAGCAGGATAAGTAGGTTCATTTTTTAGAGTTAAAAACCTTTCTTGGTTAGGGTCTTGTAAGATCTGCCCTATTCTCAAACTGTTCTATTCCTAGTTGTTACTAAACTTGCTGTTACTGTTGTTGTAACTCTCCGCGAGGCTGCTGCTGTAACCTCCACTGTGGTCGTTGCTGCAAACCTAATCGTGGTTGTCACCACCCCCACTTGTCATTCTTGCCGCTATCACCATCAACTATAGCCATTGCTGACACTACAACCCTCGCTCTACCCACCACCTTGCTGCCTTTGCCACCATTGCTGCTGATATTGCCACTTTTTTATTTTCATCTTGGCTGCTGTGACATCCCAACTGTTATTCAAGGCAAATGAGTGTCAGATACAGAAATAGAAGAACGAGTGTCTGATAAAAGTTTATGCAGCGGAACTAATTAATACAAATCACTAACAAATATATATGAGTTCCAATTATATACATATACTGAGGTCAGGAGTGGCTATAATTACAAAATCAAATTACAAAAGAAGGTCACTTCTTTCACTATGCTATTGGAATCATCAGAGTGCGGGAACAATTATGCTCTCAAGTTTTGTGGATCCACAGGATCCTCATAAACTTATAAGGATAGGTTAGTTTACGGTTCCTCATTTTCTTTCTTATTTGTTGGGAGGAGTGGATATGAAAAGAGTAAGTTTCATATGCTCATTAAGAAAAACAATATTCAATGACATTGTAAGATTTTAAAAATGAATTA